TACTCCAAAAATTGGATCGCCCATTGAGACTGAGATGCATGCTTAATATTTTCTAAATATACGTTTTGTTTTTTTTATAGAAAGGTTGCTGCGGCTTTTAAACGGGGAGATTTCATCACACTGAATTTGCGATGTTTAGAACCTTCGAATATTATCTCTACTTGTTTCTATTATCTGTTGTGTCTAAAAACAAACAAATGTGGTAAAAGTATACGTCACCTAGCCTTGTTTGATTTTATTTAGGATTAGTTGGGTGTTATTTCACAACTTCAATCGCCTTAATCGCCTTTAAAATTCAATATTGCAAACAACATTGTGATTATCGACCAAGCATTGTTTTGGTGTCAAGGAAAACACTCGGTCTAAAGAGGCTTTCACTTAATGATTTAGCTATTGAAAAATAATCCATGCTTAGAATATGCTGTAAAGAATGTTCTACATGCATAACGTTCTTTGAACTTATTAATAGCTTCACTGTAAACATAAGTTAGTACGGAAGACGGATAGTGCCACTCAATGAGTGTGAATATATTTTTTTGGTTGGTGTGCAAATATTTATATATGTTTTTTTTACAGCGGCCGCCACTTATCATGTGGCGGCCTCAAGATAATAAGAGGCGGCCGCCACATTGGTCGTCATAATAAGTGGCGGCCGCTGTACAAAAAAAAAAATATGTTCACACGTAAACAAAAAATATATACTCACACTTTTTATGTGGCAGCCTAAAATGTGTTAACATTTTTTTTTTGTACAGTGGCCGCCACTTATTATGAAGACTTTTGTGGCGGCCGCCACTTATTATCTGGCGGCCGCCACATAATAAGTGGCGGCCGCTGTACAAAAACAATTTTCACACGCACCCAAAAAAATATATTCACACTCATTGGGTGGCACAATCCGTTTTCCGTAAGTTAGTCATTTTGACTAGCAAAAGTTATTCCTGCCCTACGTCCTTACAAAAAAAATATGCATGGTTGGGCATTTTATCTTGATGATTGGCAGAAGGTTCTCCAAAACATTTGTAGTTATTTACTTGTGGTTGTCAATTTACATTTGTCACCTATGATCTTCACCATGCAAGTTGCAAGCTCATGTCAAAATTTGATTGATCAAAAACAGTAACCAGCGAATACAGAAATATTCCAATGTAGCGCTTTTTCGAAAATGTTAATGATCTTGCTTTTTAGTCATTGCACCCTGGTTTTGGACTAACACATACATGTATCAGTCAATCCGACTTACAGCTTAGTCAAAGAGGCACATAGTTAGTCAAAAGTGCTTGCCAAGCTAAAGTCATTTTGACTAATATTTGTTCCCAAATGACTAACTTATGTTAACAGTGTTGGAATTACTTCCCTTGGAATGTCTTACTAAACGTTCATGTGAAATGACGGATCAATGTTTCCATACCTAAGAGGTAGGCATGGTAAATTGTTTTAACCTTGTTTGTAATTGTATTATGTACAGACGTTTCAAAATTCCAGTGTAAAGCATTTTGCAATTTCAGACGGCTTCTTTTAATAAAATGTGTATATCAAAAATTAAATTTTAAAGTGGCTTAAATATGTCTACATGTTGAACGCTCATAAACTGCTTTAGGTTTATAATTTGTGTTGTATCTAACTTCTTTTTGTTTGTGGGAATTGACAAGTAAATGTTTCTGAAAGAGCACGCCTAGTGGCAACCTCGTCCCCAGGGTGTCGAGCAGTACGCGCCCACCACTACCTGCTCTCTCACCCTGGTATGGGATCATTTGCATGTGCAAGATTTTTGCACACGTATGCAAATGAGGAACAGTCTGGTGCCTGGATATGCGTTACACATTAGTGTTTGTTTTTGTATGCGGTGTCTGGGGTAAAAACAGAGTCAATTCGTGGCAGCGCGAGCACGGCGTGAGTTACGAAAACACGATTTTTGAAATCAAACTGTTACGATCTTATCGAGACAACATGCAGTATCATATTTCATATTAATATGAGCAAATTGGAAAGGAAGTTAGTATTTTCAAGAAGACGTGGACGAATGATCGCGAAAACACGTACTGCACGTTGTGAATATATAGCACCAAGTACACGATAAAAATCCATTACTAGCCAATTGCGGTATCCAATCAGGATACAGGAAGAAAGTTTCCTATCCAGGGTTTACTATTGGAAACGCGGTTGGAAATAAAGTAAGCACTGGGCACGAGGTTGGCCTAGTGGTGCATTTCCTGGGTTAGCCTGAGCGTGCCATATACAGAGCTGACAGGGATGGGAGTGGACTTTGAAGACCCACGACAGTCAAATTGAATACAGCACTCAAGTAACTCAGGTTGTGCAACCTCTTTGTCCAAATTTATTCTCACCTTAATGAAGTTAATCTCAAATTCATCAGGACTAATCCCTTACAAAAAGCTTCTTGAAAATCCGGAGAGTGACAAGAGTCCCTAGCCAAATACCTTGTTAATCCTAGGACAATGTCGCTATTACCCTCTCTCACCGCGTATTTGTGAATCACAGCGATCTTCAACGCACTTGTCGCCACGCAAAGGCAGCGCCGAAAAGGGCAAAGAGTTCTAGCTCTTCCAAGTTGCGACCGGTGGCCACCAGGCAAAGAATCCCGATACCTTTTGTCTACCTGAAGGAGTACCGCCAACTAGCCCAGCAGACGGATTAGAAATTCCATCGATGGTGTCAGCCCGAAACGTAAATTAACCCAACGTTATTTTGGCGGAGACCGCCTTATTCATCCCGACGGCCCGGTGTTCTCAGCGAGTTTAACAACGGGCAGAGGATCATTTCCTTGGCAAGCTTCAACGGTTCCAGCCGCCGTCAGCGGGTCTTTATCGGCCCTTACCAGTGCTGCCCAATGGATCACCTTCGTTCTCCAATGCTGCAGTGGCTAGCCCACGTATTTTCCAAACGCATTCAACGCGTGTCAACTAAGTTTACTCCGCATTCCCTGATGTTGAGCATGCGCAGATACGTGAAGCGATATGTTTTATTTCGGTTTTGCAAATGTTATAATCTGAAGATAATTTGGATTCATCAAATGTAAATATATCACAGTTTTATTTTAGTATGTACCCCTGAAGTAAATAATTTTACTTCTTGAGACAGTTAATTAAAAGTCTAAATATATATTGATAAACGTAAATGAAATCGAAATTGCACCAAGCAGTCAAAGAAAACTATCCAAGAAATACATATCAATTTCTGTATAATACCAAACCCCTTAAACAGCGCCCTCCTGTAGTGGCCGCTATACTTTTCGTCCATGTCTGGTATCGATTGAAGGCTGGATTACACGTAAAGTGTAACGCTCGTCGTGATAACGCCCTCTTCCGGCGGTGGAATATCGCCGCGCAGGCATATTATCGCGTATCTATAACAACGTCTTGACCCAAGACTACTTCAAAACCAAGAGTTACCAAAACTGAGGGGGGGGGAGTGACTGTGCAAATTAATATGTATTCGTTGTTTCAGTACATGGCAGTAAGTCTATGAGCACACATTATCCACAATTGAGCACAGCTTTGGATTCACAGCTTTGGATTCACAGTCGAATAGAAAACCACAAACTGAAGAGTCTGCGCTCTCAAGCAGTTATCATCTCGAGATAAAGATGATTTTTTTTTTTTGTAATTTGCTAATTGCCCTTAAACTGTAAATGTGACATCGGACAAAAAAAAATTCACTGCCTTTTGAGTTACCGGAATAAATGGGAGGTACAAGAGGAATGCCCACCGACTTGCAGGGTACCGTTGTTTTTCACGAAATAGATACATGAATTTTACTCAAAACTAGGAATTTCGAAGGTGGGTTGATCTGTAGCAAATGGAAGAGTTTTAGAAAAGAGATATTAAGTCCGAATTTCAGCCCAGGAAAGTAACTATGGTTAAAATAAGAAAATTTTGACATAAGTGTGCGACGTTGCAAAATTTTAGTACACGAGAACAAAGGAAGTACCCCACTTCTATGCCTATGTAAGCCAAGTGCGTACTTGTACAGAAAAAGCAGATACATTTGTGAATGGCTTCGCCTACGAGTGTTCCCATAGGGAACATTCCGTTGGGAACGCATGAGACAAGTCATAAGCCCGTGTTCCAAAATCATCAAACGTTCCTCGGAACGTTCCATTTGGAAACGCTCGGTCATCCCATGTAAGAACACGCGCAGTGGGAACAGCGCGTGTTCCCAAAAAGACCAATCAGCGTTCCCAATGGAACTTTCCGAGCGTTCCGACTTATGAGACGTTACCTAATACTGAAGTTCAATAGAACAACTTTGGTTTTCAAGAACTACACGCAAACATGTTGCGGCAATACAATTCGGATTTTTTTTTTTTTTTTTTTTTACAACCATTATTAACATCATAATATTAAAGGCTACATACATATTTTACACGAATGAAACGCTTGCCGCTGCCTTTCACTGTGTATTGGAGTTCCAATCTTGAACATAAATACCTGTACAAGGATCACATTTACGTCTTGGAGTGACTGTTATTTTAGAAGCATTGATTTTTTTAGTAAGAGGCTCTATGGCAGCAACATGTACGTTGTATGTCTTTGCATGCCCTGACAATGCACTCTGGATGGCTTTTTGGAACTATTAAAAGCTCCTATATTCTCTTTCCGGAAATAAACATCCTCTTACACTTTCAGTTCTGGTATATTTGATCAAAGTGTTGGTTTTTATAACATAGGCCTATGTAGCGCTGCATAGGCAATACTTATTCTGAACAATTCTTTTCTGCACAGATTCACGTGACCCTAGCCCTTCAGGACTTTCATTGTCAAAATAGTACGTGATAACTTCTTAATCAGCCACACACAAATATTGTTTATGTTTCAAAAGCCATCGACATTAGTTTCGTCTGTGACTAGCTTGAAATGAAAGAAAAACTATCGCGTGATGTCCCGTTATATTTAAGCTTGACTTCGTTACTTTATTGCAACGCGTAAGGGTTGCTTTCAGATTTGGGGACCATCCGACGTAACTGACGCTCTTCAGAAATGAATCCGTTGTACGCGTTGATTTGTTTCTTCGTGTTTGGTGCCGCATATCACCTTTCTAGTGGTAAGTCGAATAATACACAAAATATTTTGAATAGTAGTAACACAGTTTTCATATTGATTGTTAACTTCTATTGGATCTAAAGTAATAAGTCAACTGTTATTCTAAAGACAAAAGACTATAAATAAATTCCACAAAAGGATCATCCATTTCTTAAATCCCTATGAACATTCACGGATGAGGGAAGTTTTGTCTGATTTTATGATGATTTTATCGTATGTTTCCATAGAAACGATTTTGACAGCCGTCGAAGGAGAAGATGTGGAGCTGGAATGCAAAGCACTTGACTGGGCTGTGACACCACCAGGCAATGGTACAGTTGTCTCATTCGAATGGCTTGTAAATAAATCAGCCATTGTCACATGTACATATACAAAGACCATTGCGGGGTATACGCCTGTACTTAACAGGACAAGTGGGGCTTTGACAATCCCGCATGTTCCTCGGTCCTTGAATGGCACAAAGTTCCAGTGTCAAGCGTTACACGGAGGAGGGAACAACAACTCTGTCATACAACTCATCGTGTTTAATGGTTAGTATTTCTAATATATTTGTCATGCTTATGGAAAAACATAATGAATCAGGGTTTACATTTGTTTACATTAGTTCTTGTGGCCTGAATGTTTCAAATGTAACGGCTGATCGGCAAGCAATCTCGTAATTCTGTACAGGGAGTTATTCCCTGCAACAGGGTCAACGTTATTCTTACGGTTGAGATAAATAAAATTGATGAAAAAAGGCTGAATAGAGGGAAGAGTTTGTGTCAGAAACACATTAAAAATATTTAGAATGTTTGACAAACGTCCCTTCCATCAATTTCCTTTTAAAACAAACGAACATAGCAGTGTTTGACACTGTGGAATATGAACAAAACACAGATTGGAAAATGGTATTAAGTTTGCCCCTAGCGTCAAATGCCGTCCATGTGCCCGCCCTTCCCCGCATTTTTGAGTTTGCACTGCCGACTAGCCGGCTGGTCTCGCCAAATATTTAAAATTTAAACAAAGAGGATGCTGCTTTTCCGAAATTAGAAGGAGGTAGAATCCACCCCAAGTCTTTTTTATGGCCGTGTGTCGGTTCATTTATCGTTAAAGCTTGCAAAGCATAATTATTTCTCATTTATACTTGATATTCCTATGTGCAGGAATCGGAATTACTGAGACGACGTCCATGTTCAACGGGATAATAGGAGGAGGTATCGCCTTGGAATGCTTTGTCAAAAGTGTTCAATTCGGCTTTCCGAATATTAACTTCAAGTGGTTGCTTGGAAACAAAACCTTGCACGATGTGTGCACAGAAGAGGGCAGCACTAAGAAAGGGAAGTATGACTATCACCATGACAACCGAGGTTGTAACTTGACGATTAACAGCCTCGACTTAACTGACGAGGGGTGCTACAGATGCGAAGCTCAATATTCGACTACGACGGTGTGGAAAAATTCAACCTTGACTGTTAATGGTAAGTTCAAACTGGATGTAACTGGTTTAATTGAAACAACTGGTCTTTCAGGGATTAATTATTAATTTGCAACCGTTATGTTGGATTAACATACACGTTTTCTTTTACATATAATTAAAACAAATACCACAAACAATGATCCAAAGCTAAAACATAAGAAGACAAGCAGGAAGAAAAAAAAAAGATTATGTCCATGGTGTTTGCTGTTGATATTTTTGCGGTACGAAATCTGCGTAGGCTGGTCCGCCACCCACGCTGGGCAACACTGGTCGTCACATTAGTCGATACGATGCTTTCCATGGATTGCCTCGAAGGAGGCGTTAACTGGACCTTGATCTGCATGTTCTGTAAATCTGACCGGTATCTCTGTTTCTTAGCCGATGTATCAAGAACATAGGCGGTCTATACTCTACCGGGCATACTGGCCGTAACGTTGAATTAACGCTGCCGGTTGTTCTCAGAATCACTTCACTCTTCAGACGCAGTCACTTCACATGATGTATACGCAAGGCATGTCCCCGGTGCTTTTGAAACCTTAACTAGCAAACATGGATAACAAACATGGAAACTCGAATGTTTAATTGAAGTACCCACTGATTGGGGAGTGCTGATCAGTGCTGATTTTCTACTAAAGTTCTTTCATAACTATTGCTGTTCTGGCGTCCTGATGCAAGTTGTTATGCGTTTCCGCAGCGCCACCTAAAGATGTGTACATCATCAACGCCACTACCGGCGAAGTTTATAGCGGAGACGTGCTCATCAGACCGGACACCGACCACAGCTTCACCTGCCTGGCCACAGACACCAAACCCCCGGCAGAAATCACCTGCACATTCGCTGGAAAGAACACAAGCGGAGAGACGAGGGTAGCTGGGACGAAATTGCACAACACAAGCAGCACGTTCACCGTGCCGTCGTTTCAGCCTGGTCAGCGGGGGAATCTGACATGCACAGCAACTGGGGCGGGAAGGAAGGTGGTCACGAATATTCTGTTGCTCAGCCAACGTCAAGAATCAGGTGCAGTTTTTTTTGCTTGTGTGTCATTTCGTCTTTTCCCCTCGTTTTCCCTGGCTTGTTGGATAACATAAGATACTAAACATTAGGACAAAACATGTCTAAAAAAAAAAGCCTATTGATGGGTTTTGCAAACATTCGAAAACGCAATTGCCAAATTGTTATCGAATAGCCTGTAATAAAGCGTCAGGCATCCTGTGAATTCGTAAATGTATGATGGTATTATGTTGTTATGCTAAAAAAATTACTAACAATAACGATGGTTTGGACAGAGGCATCGCTGTAAGAACGACCTTGTTACTATGGGCGCAAACACAGCAGCTATTGACCTCGTGCATATGCTCCGTCACGCAGTTATCATACATGTAGGCGTACGAATAATGCACTTTTTCATCTAGGTGTAATATAGTTGAGAAACTGTTCCTCTGTATTTCAAATTAATGCGTTGCTACCGTCTCGTTACTTGCTCCAAAATACATTTTTTGTAAGTCATTAAAAAACCACCCTACACATTTTGAACGCGTTGCCAAAGCTATTAAGAAATGTTGGATTAAAAAAAAAAATCTTTAGGTTTGAGTCTGAATTGCAATTGTGACCGCAAGTATTGTCACCTGCAACATTGAAATTAGTTGTCAGAATTAGTTTTCTCAGTAATTTAGAGTATGTGATTTTCTTTGGCAATTTAACTTGACGTATTAAAGATAGAAGGGGGGACTTTGAAACTACAGGGCCATCCCAAAATGACAACAGAGATTCCGGACCAACAATTCACACACCGAGTGAGTTTATTTTCCAACTTGATATGCGACTCACGCTAAACACTCATTAAGGTCGGCCCATTTTATCAACTGGGGATATAATCGCGGTCAATGGGGTATATTTCAAAAGGTTAGAACTCTGGTTGAGCCTTTTCGGAAGGTTCCAGCTTAACTTGCGAGGTGTATAGTAAAGGCAGATGTTACACGAAAACGTTGTAGTAGAGTAGTTTTGTGTGTTTTGTTTAGCTCTTTTCTTCAATGTTGCTTCGATCTATCTATAACAGGAAAAGTAAAGTTCCGTGCTTCTGAAAATACTGAAATTGGTGTAAATAGACAAACTGCTAACACCAATAACATTGGGATTGGGGCCGTGTCATAAGTCCGACGCCTCATTGGTCCGACGCCTCATAAGTCCGAAATATGAGGCGTCGGACTTATGAGGCATAACATTTATTTATTCCGCCTCATAGGTCCGGCGCCTCATAAGTCGGACGCCTCATAAGTCCGACGTCTGAAAAACGAGGCGTTTAATTCTTCGGACCAACGAGGTGTTGGAGCTATGAGGCGTCGGACTTATTGGCCTTTATTTGGTTAGAAGAATAATTGTGTACAGGTCAACAGTAGGCTTCTCTTGGTTATTTTAAACCGTGTTTATAGACAGAAAAGCCCCACATTTTGCAAGTTTATCAGTACATGTTAGTAAGTGCGGATCCAGAACACATTTTTTTTTTTTTGGGGGGGGGAGGCAAAATAATTGTGGTCCCCAAAAAGGGTATTTAAAAAAAATTACGACGTGGGGTTTGGGGCCTGCTTAAGGGTCCCGATAAAAATTGACTCTAGATGCTCTGTGGTGCGATCTGAGGTAATTTCTGACCACTTTAACCAATGTGTTTTGTAAGAAAAGAAGGTGGTGTACTAGTTGTCATGCCTTTCTTGAAAAGTCAAAAAAAAAATGGATTCGTTTTTGTTATTATTTTTTTTTTTTTTTGGGGGGGGACCCTGGATCCGCCCTTGCGTTTTAGTTGCTTTTACTCTGCATTTCTTTCGGGCCATGTACAGGTCAACCCATTTCAGGAAGTGTTTCCGGATATCTGAAGCATAGAGATATCAACTTATGGTTTCATTAATCTTCAAGACAATTACGCTAGCTTAGAAATATGAATAATTATAGGATAACTTCGTTTGAATTTACTCATGACATTCTGCCTCTCTGAATCCCAATTATTAAAATAAACACACTACTCAAATTTACCATTATCAAGTTGATATTGTGTATCAGGAAAGTATCAGGACAGTAATGACCATTTTGTGTTCCGGCAGATTTGTTGTGGCCTTTAAAGCAGCTTGTCCGACGAATGAAAACTAAACTTTTGACATTTCCAATAAGTTGGGTTTAATAAACGACAAAGAAAAGTGGCGATAGTAATTATGATATCTTGGACCTTGATTTCCTCGATTGTTCAATTGTCCTTTGCAGTTAATGTACAGCGACAGAGTGATTTGAAATAAATCAAGATTTATTTAATCGCATCTTTACATTTCCTATGCAGACCCCTCGATGCAGAGTCAGATGCCTTTGATCTTCGTTGCAGTCGGTATCGCGGCTGCACTTCTGCTTGTTCTTGTAGCGGCGATTGTCTTCTGGAAACGCCGAAAGAGTAAGTTTGTTTGCAAACCCTGCTTACTGTAAACACTAGCTTTGGTACTGTTGTCCTACTATCGGGCTGTCGCACTGCTGTCGTACTGTAATCCTATTTAGGACTCACTGCCAGACAGTATAGCTGCTCCTGTTGTTACTGATATACTGCAGATGCACTGCCATTCTGCTACTCTGCTTCCCTTTTGACGTTTTTTTAGGAACTGCTGCAGCTCTTCTGATCAGATGTAGCTGCTGGTAACAATGGGGTCTACCCGATGTTTGCAATACCGATGTTCCCCGAAATCCTTCGGATAATGTAGGGTTATATAGGGTTAGGGTCAGGGTGAGGATTTCAGGGAACATCGGTATTGGGGAACATCGGTATTGGTGAACATAGGTATGCACCCGTAAAAATATGTTGATATTCATTGCCTTTTGACTGATACAACAGACCCGCTTAGGAACCGTAAGTGGTCCTTGATAGCATACGAATTATCGGTGGAAATTTAGACTTTTCTGCCACACCGGCAAATATTTGGGACGCCACATCACTGAAAAAGTCCAAAATTAACACGTGCTTTTACATGAAGAGGCTGGTTTACATCCATGGGTAATTATGAGGTTAGATCCTAGATGAGGGCAAACGTCACGATCAGTTGCAGTAAGTGCGTTGTGCCTGTTATTTCAGCCCATTAACCAATCTTCAAATATTTGTTTGATGTTTGCCAGTAATTGTAAGAATTAGTCTATTTGTTGAGAAGTTAAGGTTAAGGAATACAGATAATCAGAACAGCATTGTTAATGTCCAGAAAACGCTGCAATCATATTTGCGTTTCGAATGTAAAGGTCATTTGAATTCGTTACACAAGGAAACAGATTTATCATGTATAGGCATTATGCTGGCCGCTTAATAAATCGGATATGGAGGTCATTTGGACTTGTTATGAGTTTCAATTTGTGTGGGTTAAAGTGTAAAATCGGAAAATCGAAAGTGTTCACACTGCACTTTCGCAATGAATCGAGGTAAACAAATAAAGGTAATAATAACAGAAACCAATTGAAACGTTTGTTTTTGGTTTGGTTTTGTCCTAACTCTTATCTACAGATAACGTTCCATCCGATGGAAACCAGTGAGTAAAATGTATTTTAAATATTGATATTCAAAGGGGTTTTGCTTTGACTATGATTTATTTGAATTAGTAATACGGCTCAGTTTCTTTTTGCACTTATATACACGATAGGTCTTCCAGGATATTAAAACTCATTTTAATGATCGTCATTAACTGAAGATATTTTTCAAACCTGCATGCATGTTCATATATACGAGCATTATCACAGCACGCTTTGAAACAGTGCATACCGGAATAAATTCACAAATGACAACTTACAGATGTTTCAGACTATTCTTTCTAAGTAAGCCATTCGAATACTGTCTCTATGTCTTATACAGCCAGTAATTTGTCATGGCGTGACTGATAATGTCGCGCAAACCGGTGCAATACTCATGCTTGTAATAAAACTGCCATGTACTATTTGACAATACACTTTACACAAAGCGTCTTCATTGATGATAAGTCTTTCAATAAATTTTAAAAAGAAATGCTCTCAGTAAAATCGCCCTATTCTGTTGTCCTGTAAAAACTGCATGATTTTTGCCGATGAACATTATGTGACATGTGATAAGCACCCAAAAATCATAAATCTGAAAGCTTTATTTTATAACGATATTTTGCTAACATGCGTTTTGCAGGCCTGTAGTTCACTACACACGGACTGGAACCGACAGGCCCACGGCGTCTGTGAGTCCTGTCTTGAACACAGTCGTAGGACCATCAGGTAAACTAAGCTTAATGCCTAAGTGCCAGGATTGGGATCATCGTATTCAAAACTTAACTAAGCAGAAGTTAGAAATATTTAAGGGACAGGTCCGCTGGAATGCTACCGTACGCGCATCGAACAATGATAATGATCATGTCCAATAATAAAGAATGACGATTCGCTCTTTGCTTGACGTTGCGTTTCACTGTGACAGGATGCAACTTCTGTAATGAACTAAAGTCTCAAATGAGTTCTTTTTTTTAATACAAAATAAAACGAAACTGATTCAATTGGATGGGTCTAATAAGGCCTCCTTACGCATTATATCCTTTCCAACAGTGATCGGAGTCTAATATTCATTCTACCTTTAAAACAATATTGCCATTTTAAGAGATGCCTGTTTCTTGATTTTGGTACTTTTATTACAAGATGCGGGAAATATCTACGAAGAAAATTCATTCCTTCCGAGTGGCCAGTCGCCTCCGACTGCAACACCGCCCTCTAGCAGTGGCTTTCAAGCAACAAGGAACTTCCGACGCTACAATCCCGGTAATTTATTCAAAGAGTTATCCGATATAAAGTGATTCGTTAACTCCGCGTTTCGGTTAGTGTACACATCGAACCGTTGAGTTAATATCCGATCTACCTCAGCTATATTGATGTACGACAAACACTATTTTCAAGTGGTGCATCCGGAAACATAATCAAAACCTGTATGTGTTTTGCAGGAAGAGTTTTTACATGCCACACTTCTCCAACCTTTGTCAACGACTTTTGATTTTTTGGTTTTCAAAACTGATGTTCCATTTTAGTTTTTGCCCGGTTTTTTTGTTTGTTTCAGGCAACAGGGCATTGGGGACTGTTGTCCTTCCTGGTCCCCCAATGGAGCAAAGCGATATGCCGACTTCCAGCAACCAACAACCAGCCGCCACCATTTCTAAGGAAGTATGTTAATTAAACCAATATTACAATCGTTCAAGTTATCAAAACAAATACGCAATTGGGTTACATTTCTGTCAAATTACACATGTGTATACATTTATTGGTCAAATGATCTAATTTTCCAAATGCAACGTCGTTTTTGCACTAAAAATAGTAATATCTACCTATTTGTCTTGGAAGGTCCTCATTTACGCAGACGTCCATCACACCAAGACACACCCATTGGACGTCCCGCCCATCCGCACAGAGCCTCCCACCCAGTACGCAGACATCAACAACTTCCTGATATTAACTCCTGTCGAGATCCCGCCTCTTTTCAGAGACGACGCCCCCAGTTTGGGTGTAGAGGGGCAGAGTTTCGATGGTTTGGAGGAAGAGGCCAAAGAAGAGAGAGCTCCGCCCCGCCCCGTTCGGGGTAACCCGATCCCTTATCTGGTACGGGATTGGCAGATGTAGGCCCAACTGTGTTTTAAATTATATTGAAATGCATGCTAATTGCCGAAATGATAAGTTTGAGGATCACTGGGCGAGCAGCCCATTATGACCCGTACCAATCAAAGGAATATTTCACCACAATGTACACTCTCGCTGACAGGAATGATTTTAGGCAAAATGGAGCTTAGTAATGTCACATGCAATAACTTTATTCGTAACAAATATACATACTTATTAAGGTAAAAATGAAAAAGAAAGTCAAATAAAATTGAAACACTTGTGATGAGAAGTATGCATTACCTTTGACAATAAAAATTCTTTTTTAGTCGTTAATTTCCTCGCTTGATATAAACAAAAATTACAAAAACAAAATACGGGCCTGATTAGTTGAAAAGTACAAGTGGATGACATGCGTGGTGAACACGCTTTAGCTAAAAAAAACTGTTTGCTTTCGAGGATCAGGATCTCAACATTGACCGCTTGCTTGTTTGTCGTTGAATAATCCCTACGTCATGTACTTTAAATTAAGCCTTTAATAAAAAAAATCGGCTGTTTGATTTGTTGAAACCGTAAGAGAAAAGAAAAAAACATAATTGTTGGAAAACAATCGCCGTAGATTTGCGGTCCTGTGATGAATTTAAATTTACTCCATAATTATCGCGTGTAATCTGTAAAATAATGTTCCTTATATCGTGCACTGTTTCAATTTTAGTGGGCCTATTAGACAATATCCGCTTGTACAGTCTGTTGAACAAAAATTAAATTAAATTAAATTTGGTTTAAGTGAAACAACATAACTGGGAGTAAAGTCGAGGGGCTTTTATGTTATATTGTAAATTAAAATTGAAAACTGTTTCAATGTTGAAGATAAAAAAACTAGCCAACATTTTCCTTTTAATTCAAATTATTTGAATTTTGATGCTACCACACTATTTCAGGATGATTTCTGTAAAACTTAGAATTTAATAAACAGTCCATGAATTCAGTCTAATATAATACAACATTTAATAAGTCATAAAAGAATATAATGTTGTCGACTGCATTGTAGATATAGACTTTATTAATGCGTGTACAAAAGCAATGTTGTAATTTGCGTTATAGCTGAATGTAATGCATAAACAGTAATGACTTTGTCATGTTTAATGGAGATGTTTGTTGTTAATGTAGCACATTTTGTTTTATCATCACAAGAGGGCAACGTTTAAATTAAAGTAATGTGATGCTGTCCTCGCTTTGCTAGGTATTTCTTACATTATGCCCACCTCGATTTAAGCACGTTGTGTTTTCCGTTGGGTCTTAAAATGAAGCTTTTTGATTATCCTTTTCATTTACATTTACTAAGAAGTTGCAAGTGTGCTTTTGCAGACACATTTTAAGGTATATTTTGAGGATTTGTTGTATTTTGGATGGATATTTCTTGGGCTATGATAAGGCCTGGGTGTCAGCGTGTAATGGCTGCCATGTTAGCTCGGTCTTTAATTTCTTAAATTTTGATTAAGTTTGGGACAAAAGTCAGTAATGAAGTCGCAAAAGGTGGTTTTTGTAACTCCTTGACATGGGATTTAGGGGGATTGAACATGGATGGCTGACATTTTTAGGTTTTGCTGGCGAGAACTAGTCTTGTTTTTTTGACAATTGTATGTGAGTGCATGTATAGCCTACCTGGCTATTAATTTAAATATATTTTCTGACGTGTCTGACCAATTCTCTTGGCAAGTGTGGAATTTGTTTTTTTGTTTGTGCATTCCTCATAAGCCACATTTTTGGTTTATGCAAATCAATTTGGGCGTGGCTTGGATATCTTGGGTGCACAAATCTTCTGTTTCAATGTGGTATATTCCCATCATTTGTGGTTTTTGTCAGCAGTTGGGTGTTTGTTCAATCAGACGAGTCAAATGATTGCATTCTTTTTGAAATCTATATTTTTAAATTGTACATGTGTAATAATTCAATTAAGTGTGTAGTTTTCTCTTGAATTTAAGAAGCCAGCAGCTTCACTCCTCTAATTTGGGATTGCATCTAATTTGATTATTTGAAACACATTTTTGTATGATGAAAAGCGAGTTTGGTAAAGTAAAGGAAATGTATATATTTTCTGAGATCCGAATGTGCGTTTAGTAACGAATTAAATAATAATGAAAAGGGAGCTTCAATCAAAAAAATTCAACTTATATTTCCATAATCAAGTTTGTGAGTTTGTAAGGATTGTAATTAGAGGATCAAAGTCGCCATCCTTCCCTCTCGGCACGTAACAAAAACATACAACCCCAACATTATTGATAACATTTCGGTATACTTGCACTTGTGTAGATATTGTAACTCGCCGATTGCAAGCGATATGTGCGGCAGTTAAAACTAAACACCATATAAACTGTAAAAGAAGATTCTAGACTATTCTTTCGTAGTTTTTATTAGGAAACATTAGGGCAATGCTCGACACGGTTTGTTTGTGAACCACCTGGCTGCAGACGCTCTAAATTGGTTTTTAAAAAATACTTCAAAATATAACACACAAATTTAACATTCGTTACAATCAAACTCATACATTTCAAGAGCATTCACGGCCGATTCTGCCTGCGCAAAAGACAGCGCCCCCAGTTTCAAAAATAGTTAGCCGAAATTCCGTTGTACGAAGCTTCGGCCTAAAAGGCCGTCAATTGTTGACGAATTTGGGGTCAAGTTTTGAATCGCACCTCCCTATTTTTTTTCAATGTGTTGAGGTACGGATGGGTCTCGTGGAAAATGATTTGCCCTGTTAAATTACAGGAAATGATGATGTAGCTATTTTATATGAGCTGGTGTTCGCGATGCCGTACACCGAATTTCAACCGTTTGGAACGGCGATCTTTGTATAAAAAAATGTGACCAGTTAATAGAAAATCACAAGGGAACTGATCATACTGAAAGTTACTTGGAGGTCTCATGATAATGACGTTTACTTTACCTCAATTTGCATGTGGACTCCTACTGGGCATGGTAAGCCTTCGTGAATCCATTTTGCCACTTTTTTTCATCATCAACGTCATGTTGTGCGTTATAGCAATACTTTTTGGAGTGTTTCCATAAATATAAAGTGTAGCATTAAGCTATTCAATGTCTGAACGAAACACATCACGTGACAACCTTGACTTCAAGAAACGGTGATTAAAGCATAATTATATATACCATATATGGACCTGCAAACAGTACTCAAGCCTCTCCATTAACTATTGTATTTCGTGCTAGCGCCACTCTATAGGCCTTTTACACAAAGAAAACGGGACACACAGACATCAGACAGACAGATAGTTATCTTTCCTATCTGATTCCTCTTCATATAATTGCTGTTTGTTGGTTATTTCCTCATTAACATGGCCGCATTAATTAATATCATGATTTTTAACACTTTTTTACACAATTTCTCCCATGGAATTAGCTATGTTAATATTGATAATGTAATATATAAGCCTAATATAAAGGTCTCTACCATTTGTCCCCCTCTTCATCAAAAGCTTGGATTTTTAATAATTGAACATGTTTTACATACATATAAATAACACCTCGTCTTAAAAGAACATGCTGACAAAATATGATGAATTTCTGAGCACTTTGCGGTACATTACGTGCAGCGAGATTAAGATATCATACATTTACATATTATATCCGTAAACATAGACATGTACAATCATGCCCATGTTGCACTGCATGTGAGCATCTACCCCCGTAAATAGCCATACGTCGTTGCTTTGTCTGGACTTTTGAAAGCCCGGGATGAAGACAATCCAATTACAGTCTCAAAGTTTAACAATGCTACCACAAAGAACTTCCGTTGGCACAGGATCTGTCATTCCCAAGACAATTTTAGGGGAAAAAATAGGAAGACATGAACGGGTAGACATTTTGGTTTATCAGAATTCCTGCGAGGTCACACACGGTCTCCTGAATCCTTTGCGTGCAAAACGGTAGGAGCCCTCCGCCTTTCTGGAAATCAACATTACACTTTGAATTCTGACAAACTGGTCAAACTTGTGTTTTTTATTACTTGATATACACACTGCAATGGATAGGCAATAATTTGTTGTAATACCTGCCCAGAGTCACGTGACCCTATATGAGATGGTCAAAATAATACGTGATAGCTACACAACAAGCGACATACTGAATTAAAAATTCGTCGAACACAATTTCCCTATTTCGGTTTCACTTCTTTGTAATCGCTGCAACGCGTTGGATTTGCTTCACTTGTTCGGGGACTGACAGACAACTGAATCTCTTCAGAAATGAGTCCGTTATACGGGACGATTTGTATCTTCGTGATTGGTGCCATATGGCACCTTTCTTGTAGTAAGTCAAATTATGTCAAAAATATTTTGAATAAAACTAAAACACTGTAATGCTAATGTTTAACTCATGTTGCATCTCTTTCTCGTTGGGTTAACGGTTATTCCCACAAAAAGGCCCAACATTTACAAGAGGATCATCAATTTCGAAAGTCACGATGAGCGTTCACAAATGAGAGTATTTACTGATTTGGGATTTTTTTTGTAATGCGTTTTCATAGAGACGATATTGACAGCCGTGGAGGGAGAGGATGTGGAGCTGGAATGCAAAGCACTTGACTGGGCTGTGAATCCACCGTGCAATGATACAGCTTCCTCAGTCGAATGGCTTGTAAATGGATCAGCCAGTGTCACATGTACATCTACAGAGAGCATTGCGGGGTATACGCCTGTACTTAACAAGACAAGCGGGGCTCTGACGATCCCGCATGTTTCTGAATCCTTGAATGGCACAAAGTTCTCATGTCAAGTGTTATACGGATTAGGGATCAACAATTCTGAAGTAGAACTTATCGTGTTTAATGGTGAGTATGTTTATATTACTCGTGAATGTAAAACAAAAACCTCGGAAAAGGGGGAAGGAGCACCATGTAGGACAAGTGCGCCCGCCCTTTCAAATTTTAAACTGAAGGCAGACCAGTTGGTCTTACCGCCCGCCCCCTTCCTGTATTGTTTCTGGATCCGCCCAGGAAATGTCCCCCT